GCACTGGTGTTTCTGTCAGTGGACTCTTGTGACGCTGCCGGCAGCTATCGATATTCTGCCCACCCCAGTGGTAGAACAGGGGATTTCAAACTGTGCAGTCCCTTGAAAGCTTATCAGGAGTCCCTTATTAAGAAAATCAATAATAGTGAACAAGCTTCCGTAAAAGACAGCTTGCCTAGCACTAACAGTCTTTCCTTCATTTTGGAGTTTAGAGCCAGTGTGGTCTAGTGGTTAGAGTGCTGGACTGGGAAGCAAGAGACCTGGGTTCCGATCTCCGCTCTGCCATAAAAGCTCACTGGGTGACTTCAGACCGATCACTCTCCCTCAACCTAACCCACCTCACAAGGCTGGAAGGGAGAACCACGTGTGGTGCCCTGGGCTCCTTGGAGGAAAGGTGGGATAAAAGTGAGCTAGATAGATTGAGGAGTGTGTTCGGGGCTATATGCTGAGGGTCAGAGAAGCATGCCCAAGATCACTGTCACTATTTTAAAAACACATGACAGCTATATGCACTGGTGGTCTTAGCTGTGGGACGGCTGCCCCAGGTCCCATGTCGGGGAGGGCTAGTTGCCATGTGCTGCCCCCTCTGCTATTGCTGCAACTCCAGAGGCAGTAATGACGAAGGAAGGAGGCTGGGGAGGGATCCTGCTGCCTAACAACTGGTTGCCAAGCAGCTGCCACCCCAGAGCTGCCAGTACCGTGACTCGAGGGGGGTCCACTGGCAATGGGTTGAAGCTGGGGGAGGACTCCTCCTTTTGCCCTACAGCCAAACTGCTGAGGCTGCAGCTTGAGGGCTGCCACAGCCGATTGGGAGCCCCGTCCTTGACTTTCTGCCCGGGGCCCCAGAATGACTATCTCCAGTCTATATGGCCCCCTAATTCCAATCAGGGCCATAGAGGGAGGGGAGAAGAAAGTCCCCCAGCGTATATTAGTCCTCTTAAGATACATTTTAACCCCAGCTGCCTTAAGCCCCTGTTGGCGAAGATGACAGGAACAATACAATTTTTCAGGACCACAGTTTGGTGTGGTCCTGGCCAGTTTGGTGTAGTGGTTAGGTGCGCAAACTCTAATCTGGGAGAACCGGGTTTGATTCCCCACTCCTCCACTTGCAGCTGCTGGATGACCTTGGGCGAGCCTTACTTCTGTCAGAGCTGTTCTCTCACGAGCAGTTCTCTCAGCCCCCACCTACCTTACAGGGTGTCTGTTGCGGGGAGGGGAAGGGAAAGGAGTTTGTAAGCCACTCTGAGACTCCGAGTGAAAGGCAGGGTATAAATCCAATCTCTTCTCCCTCTTCTTCTTCCTACATCTAAAGTTAGCCTTTAGATTGTGAGCTTCTTTGGGGCAGGGATCTGCCTTTTTTCTTATGTTACACTGTTCAGACACCAGGATCTCCCAGTAGCAGAAGAGGAGGAGGAGGATTTATACCCCACCCTGCACAAAGAGCAGGGAATGATCTATGGATAAGACCCTCAAACCCACAGCTGTTCAGAGTGGATACTGCTGGGCTGGATGGATCAATAGTCTGATTTGTTGTTGGTCAGCTTCACATTTTTTCTATTTACCATAGTTATAGTCCACCTTTCTTACTAATACTCAAAGTAGACTCACAGTATAAATTGATAACAGCCCGTACAAAGAGACATCTAATAAGCATAGTGTAAGTCAATGCAATGAATATGAGGAGGCATCAAATGAGCAGTGTACTAGTACAAGGATTACTGAAATCTGAGTCAGCATAGCACATTAGGCATGATACTTGTGGATATAATGAAGAAAAATAGTATTACATCAGTAGAAAACAATGAAATGACGACACGGTTATATGTGCAGAGAACTGATGATAACTTTCTATACATTGGTATAAATCTTAGCATGGCGCCATCTGTGGGTACTTAAATATGGAGACTGGGGCCATGGAAAGACAAGACAAATCTTTCTACAGAGCTGATGGAAGCCCCAGGTTTGCAGAAAAATCTGAAATCTTAAAAAAAAAAAAATGATAGAAACAGCACCTGTATCTTTAAGAAATGAATGCCCTCAGTGGCTGTTGCTGGGCAACCACAACAGTGTTACCAGCATTCCATCCTTGGTTTCTGTCAGCAAGAGGCAGCTTTAATCCTGTTTACTATTAATTGGGAATAAGCCACATTAAACCTAGTGGAACTTACATCTAGGTAAATATACACAGAGTCAGATAGAATATTACTGAAACTCCCAGGCTATTGGATTTGAAAAAAAATCCTTCTGGCAGAAATAAGTATCAAATCTGAGTTTAATTTGACCAAAAACCGCTGTTACCTGCTTGATAGCACAAAAGCAGGGCAAAAAGAGTCTCTTTTGTAGTGGTACGGTTGTCTTCTTTCTTCCTTCTGTCTCTCTGGTTGACTAGATACCAGAAAAGGAAAGAAAACATAAAATGACCCCAAAGACCATTGGCTTTGCTTGGAGGCATAGAACAGCATGGGGTGAAAATGAAATTAAAATCAGCTGCAGTTCTAGTGTTACAATGCTCTTAAATGAACGGAGCAGCAAAAGGACAGTCACCAGGAGGAAAAACTTACTTGCCACTAGCAATCTGGCAAGTGCTTCTGTAGAATACTGGTAGTGAGCTAGAGACAGTGGGCATTGAGAATGAACAGGAAGGAAGGCTGGAAGATTCAGAGGGGGAGCAAGGACGTGAAGGGGAAAACTAGAGTGGTGGAAGGGAAAGTAAACAGATAGATTGTGAGGAGGAAGTTTCCCTCCCTTGTGAGTTTCCCTCTTGTAAGACACTATTGTTAATGCACATCACCCAGTAAAGTATACACTGATGGAGCAAACAGGAAAATTAATAATTCCTTTTTAACTTAACGTATCTGTTCACAGTTTATTAGCTACAAATGTTTGTCTTCATTTTTCATGACCCTGCCCCACTCCAAGAGATCTTGATTCATTCATTAAATGGTGCTCAAACAGAACAGTTGCTGCTTTGAGAGAAGGGCTCCCACAGAAAGGTCAAATCCGAGACAGAGGAAATGCCTTTGTTTACAAGTTCTCCCACTTCCCAGCTGGGTCTCCATCCTGAACTGTCAATGATGATGTTGCAGAGAATCTGAATTGACTGGAGGATGTGCATAACTGGTGGCAGTTGGCCATGCTCGTATTAAAGATGTGAACAAATGAGAAGCTTAAAAAGGAAACTTTGTACCTTTCTTCATAGTCTCCAAGTGATAATGGAGAATGTAGGGAAGGCGATATCCTGGATTTTGCATGCTTACCGTTCAGTATGCATCAATACTTAGTATGCCAATGGCTATGCATAAGCAGCAGTTCCATAGGAGCTCAAAAAAAACCCTGAAGAGCATGATGTTGGCTACAAAATCAGCTACCGAAGAATCTCCACTTCCTTTGTAAAATAAAAATTGAGCGCTTTGGGTTGCGAAGATACTCATGAAAGAACATGGGGAATACTTGGTGAAATCTCAGAAGCATTACTGATGTGAGCAGGGAGCAGGCCAGGGGAGATTCCGGGTTGGAAGAGTGGCTAGGAGTGCCCAGCAGGTGTGCTAGTCAGTGGCATCACTGGCCAACACTGGGTATAGGCTTTGTGCTCAAAAAAATGGTAGCTGAAGTACCCTTTGGGTCGTCATGACCTGGATCCCACCCTAAATCTCTGCTCACAGAAGGACTGCTGTCAGTGGAGGGCAACTTCTCTGCCTTTCTTCTCTTTCTGCAGCCAAAATGTGTCGTTCCCCCCCCCCTCAGGCTACTCCTGTCATACATGGGAGTCCCCCAGAAACAGCACAAGGGGGAGGTCTGCTGCATGAGGGAGGGAACCAGCAAAAATTGTTCCCCTTTGTGCACATGGAAGTGATCACTGGAATTCAACCCCGTATCACTTGAACATATTCTGGCTGAATTTCCTTGGCATGTTGCCTATGTTGAACAACAACAAGCCAATGTGAAGATTTTATCTTCTGGAGATCTTATTTTTAACAAGGTATATCCTCCCTCTGGGTCTTTTAACTCTTCTATTACAGTTAAACGTTGATGAGTTATATAAATCACGACACCTTTTTTCTTCTCTGCAGATGAGGCTGGCTGCATATACTTTGCCCAATTTCTTATTTAAAATTTTCTCATGCACCTTTTAACATGAGTCTCTTGCATACAAATTATGGATAAATTTTGTTTCTTTAACCAATTAAATGTCTTAGATCATTTAGATGGGGAGTTTAGGCCGTTAATATTAACTGATAGGACCTTCATAGTATCCATTTCTCTCAATAAGTTGCAGCTTCATCGAGTTTGTCTTCTTCTTTATTTAAATCTTCTTTTCCTTTTCTCAATTCTTTCGATTCTTCTGGTTCTTTCCCAGTTAGTTCACTTGCCAGAAGTATGTGGCCTGTGTTGAACAACTTCACGCAGCCCTGTTCCATTCTTCTATTGCCCCAAGGGACTTATTTTGGGAAGTGATACCGTCTCTGTAGTAGGTACATGTCAGCAACCTGACAGCACATTCTGCATCCATGCACACTCTGCATCATTGCCTTCTGTTTTTCTCGAAGATAATTTCAGAAGATAGCTGGGTTGGTCGATCATAGAACAACTAGATTCAACCAACAAGATTTTCAGAGTATTCGCTTTTGAGAGGCAAAGCTCCCCATATCAGGTGAGGGACGCTTTGACTCTTGAAAGCTCATACCGCAAAAATCTTGTTGGTCTCTAAGCTGCTACTGGACCCAAATCTAACGGGCCTGTTTTTCTGTCTCCTTTCTATATAGCCAACGCATGATCTGTGCTCACATGTATACCTTTGTTGCCTTTTTGTGTTTCATGAGTTATTGTGCGTACACTCAACTTAATTTTTTTCTCATTCGTGCCACTTAATGCAAAACGAACAGCCGGTGCCAGGGAGTGGGGGATGCATACATGGAGCCCCCTAAACCTGTATTTTTGTTGTTGTTGCAGAAATCTGTAGCTGCAGTATCCCAGTGATGTGAAGTTATCTGGTGACCAAGATGTCTCTTTTACCAGGCGAAAATTCAGACTATGACTACAGTGCCCTGAGCTGTGCTTCGGAGGCCTCCTTCAATCACCCTTTCTTTGCTGAAACAGATGCGCTCAAGGGAGTCTTCTACCAGCGAGCCAAGCTAATCCATCCTGGGGCAGACCTTTACGAAAGCATTCGCCCAGAAGACCGAAAACATCACATCATCATCAACGTGGGAGGGTTTAAATACTTGCTCCCATGGACCACCCTTGATGAGTTCCCCATGACCCGCTTGGGCCAGCTGAAATTTTGCAACAACTTTGACGACATCCTCAATATTTGCGATGATTATGACGTGACCTGCAACGAGTTCTTTTTCGATCGCAACCCCGGGGCGTTTAGGACCATCTTGACTTTCCTGCGGGCAGGGAAGCTTAGGCTCTTGAGAGAGATGTGCGCGCTTTCGTTCCAAGAGGAGCTACTGTACTGGGGGATTGAGGAAGACAACTTGGAATGGTGCTGTAAGAGGAGGTTCCTGCAGAAAATGGAGGAGTTCGCGGAAATGAACGAAGCAGAGGACGACTTCGTAGACGGAGAAAACCCTTCCGAAGCAGTGGAGGAGACGAAAGCTGGCCTCTGCATGAAAAGGCTGCAAGACATGGTGGATGCCCACGAGTTCTTGTATTGTGAGAGGTGTTTGCCTGCTTATCAGTGCTGTTTGTGACAATTACTGCTGTTAACTTGTCTATCAGCACCATGCCTGGCTTAAGGGAAGAGGAGGAGAGAGTAAGTTGAACTTAGAGTTGGGGGACAAAACTCTGTGGTAGACATATAAATTGTCAACTCTGGTCACTAACTATGGAGAATAAAGATGGCTTCCTAGTCATCTGTGATGAGGGGGAGGGGGCTTTGTAAATTGGAATAAAGCTGGGATTTTAAAACAAAAGGGATAGCATCAGTGTGTGATAGATCACCAATATACATGTAGTGTGCATATGCCTAGTAAACATGAGTTTATGGCTTTGTAAGGTTTCTAGGTACTTTACTTCCAATTAAATTATCAGGGGGGAATCCAGAGGGCAGCTTCCTGCACTGGGAGTTTGTGCTCTAGCAAAATGGATGTGCATGGGCCATTAAAAAAATCTTAATACATTTTCATCCCATCCTTCCTCCAAGAAGCTCAAAGGTAGCGTACATGGCTCTCCTTTTCTCCATTTTATCCTCGCATCAACTTTGTGAGGTAGGTTAGGCTGAGAGGCAGTGACCGGCCCAAAGCTCACTCTGTAAGCCTGACAGCAGAGTGGGAATTTGAACCCAGGTCTCCCAGATCCTAGAGCTGCACTGGTTTACGCTGGGTTTTGTAGGGTATTCTTTTATGTGGGCTGCAGTATCTGTACTGCCCATAGTGTTTTGTATAACTGGGATACTGATATATCTTCCATGCAGCTTTTAAAGCTGAGATGTGCTTGCCGTGGCTCAGAGGTAGAGCATCTCCCCAGCTTCAGATCCTGGGTTCAGTCCCTAGTTTAGGAACAGGTAGCAGGTGATGTGAAAGACCTCTACCAGAGAACCCTGGAGCCGCTGCCAGTCTGGGTAGATAGGACCGAACTTGATGGACAATGGTCTGATTCAGTATAAGGCAGCTTCATGTGTTCCAGTGCCTGCCACCCCTACCTCCAGATACTCACATTTAGTAACCACCGACAGTAACTTGTGATTAAGTCCTACTGAAAGCAGTGCAGTGGAACTGTTACAACTAAGTTAACCCCTTGGGTGAGGGCAGTGGCATGCTTCACCTGTGTCAGAGCCCAGCGGAAGATATGCTACAAGCATTCAGGGCCAGAGGCTACTAACATGGGTCCAAGACAGAGAAGAGTCATTGTTAGGACAGACATTGTTAATGGGTCCAAGACAGAGAAGAGTCCATTGTTAAGGAGGCATCCAGGAGCACTCCCAAACTCCTCACCTCCGGCACTGGCACCAACGGTGCCACATCGAAGATTGGGAGCAGGATCCCCAGCCCCGAACCACCCTGAACCACCCTGACCCAGGCACAGGACCTCCGTCTTCGTCAGATTCAGTTTCAGCCGACTCAGCCTAAGCAAACAAGCCACGGCTTGTAATGCCTGGTCTAGATCTTCTGGTCTGGAGTCGGACTGGCTGCCCAACATCAGATAGAGCTGGGTGTCATCAGCATACTGGTGGTGACACCCCAATCCATGCCTCCGCGCAATCTGGGCAAGGGAACGCATATAGATGTTAAATAGCATTGGCTCCTTGAGGCACTCCACAATCTAGTAGGTGCCTCTTGGACTGCTGTTCCGCTAGTCCCTGACCTTGGAGGAAGGAAGCGAGCCATTGCAAAACCCTGAATCCCAATGTCGGTGAGGTGACGGACCAGTAACTGATGGTCGACTGTGTCGAATGCCACCGACAGGTCCATCAGCATCAACACCGCTGATCCGCCTCAATCCAGATGCCTACGAAGGTCATCTGTGAGAGCAACCAGTGCCGTCTCTGTCCCGTGGCCAGGACAAAAGCCGGACTGGAAGGGGTCTAAAATGGAAGTGTCCTCCAAAAAGCTCTGTAGCTGACTCGCTACCGCCCTCTCTATTAATTTGCTCAAGTAGGGCAAATTGGAAACCGGCCAATAGTTGGCCAATTCAGCCGGATCCAAGGATGTTTTTTTCAACAGAGGGCAGACTACTGCTTCCTTAAGCACCCCGGGGAACTGTCCCTCAATGAGGGATTTGTTGATGATCTCCCTCAAGGTGCCTCGGAACCCGTCACAGCCAACTTTAATTAGCCATGACGGGCACGGATCAAGGCAACATGTGGTAGGGCGAACAGCTAGGAGCAGTTTGTCAACTTCCTCTAGGCTGAGTGGGTCGAAATGATCCAGAACTAAAATCGAAGACGTGCATGGAGCCTCGAGCTCGCTCACTGTATCAACTGTGGCAAGGGAGGTCACGGCGGAGTGACAAGACCTTATCTGCAAAATGGCTCAAAAATGCCTCAAAGCCTATATCCGATTCCCTAGCACCTACCTTCCCCCCCCAATTTTAAACACAAACATCTTAACAACAAAATGAATTCCAACATACATAAAATCAGATAGAACACAACAAATACAGTGGAGCAAACTATGGATGTGATGTTAAGTCCTATGCTCATTAAAAGCAGGAAATAAAATATACTGTTTCAGGAAATATAGATTGAACAATCGGGGGAAAAGAAACCTATGTTTGGAGGGGATTTCCCCACCTTTATGACATTTCATTCCCTCCAAAGAAGAAATGAGAGGCATCCACTTGTCCAAAAAATGAGATGACTTAGAATATGGATCTGTAGGGTTAACTGTTACTGAGATCTTCTGCATAACCGTAAGGTCCCAAGTTTTAACCTTCCTCAATGTTGAAGATGGAGGTTTACCCTTCTTCCTGTTTGTTGCAATACACAAATGTTCCATCGCCAATAAGGCTGAAATAAGCTTAAGTTTTGGTGTATCAATATCTTTGGAATCTTTCTACAGAAAGGATGCAACTTTTGTGGGGTAAGAAACCATCTTGACCAAAATTTGAAAGATAAAGTTTGAATATTTAGTGCCTCTGAGGTGAATGCATATGATGTCCAGATTTATGCCAGTCATAATCAGTTAAGAAAACCCCAAGATCTCTTTCCCATATATTCATAACTGTTATCCTATTCTAATTAATGGTTCCAGTTAACATTATAGTACGGTTTTGAGATAATGCCTTTATCTGCCAGATCGGGGGCAAGTATCAGCTTTTCAAATGCTGTATTTGCCCCTGTTGACTTTAGTAAAACCTGCAGTACAATAAATATTTCTAATTTGGAAATAAAAGAACCAAGGAATTTTCATGTCTGGAAAGGTTTTTCCCCAAGAAATGACCATTAGATTATAAAATGTGATATTTATAACAACCATGATGAAGCCATTCAGAGATTATATTTGTTTGCTGTCCCCATCACCTACCACCTGATGCTTTTAACTGGAAATGCTGGGGATGGAACCTGGGACCTTCTGCAAGGTGAGCAGATGCTCTACCACTGAGCCATGGCCCTTCACTAAAGTTCCCAGAAGGACAAGTTTGCTGAGTGTGAGGACAAGGATTGGTCCTTGGAGTCAGCCGACTGATTGGTGGGGCCATTGTCCAAGCTAGGTGCCACTTCTCAGGCAGTGAATTCCACCTCCAGTGTTTGTTGCAGTGAGACAATGCAGGAGACGTAAGGTGCTGGAATGAGAATCCTGGTTCAAGGACATCAGTACATGCACTATTGCTATGGGTATGCCGGTATTACATCCGTGCTGCTGCATCAGACTTGTTAAGTGGGGATGACATAACAGCATCATTAAACACAGACATTTGGGAATCCAGGTCTAATCATGTGAACGTGCATAGAGAGGTGGTCATCATAAAGCTGAAATGGCAAATACTGTATTAGCACCACTTCCCCTCAGTCACTAGGAAGTGGGAGCATGGTAGCACTCAGCATAGCAAATGATAAGGGGTCATAAACGATCATCTCTTCATATGTTTGCAGCCATGGTATTTTAAGTGGCTAGTACCTTTTAGTCATCTGTTCGTTCCATTGCTACAAGCAGGACAAAAGTTATACCACATTAGTGGCATATTAAAATAGAGTAGCTGTTTCTGTCAAATGTGATCCAAGATATAAAGCAGCACTAAAGTAAATCTATTCACAGTCGGGCAACTTGCTGAGTCAGTCCTTTCAGAGGGTTTCATGAGAATTCTGGCAGTTCCCTCCATTCAAACTGCATGTTAGAAATCTTAATTTCTCCCCCCTTTTGAGCATTATGTTCTTTGGTGTTTGCAAATTGCGGCATCTGTTACCCTAGCATAGCATTTTCACACTCAGTTTTGCACAGTTCAGGGTGCTGGGAACTCACCACAGGGGACAGTAAATATGGTCAGGAAAGAAAGCTAGGGAACACTTTGTGATGGCTTCATGCTACCTGCGTGTATGTGCTACCACAGAGATTCCTGGAGTGAAAACATAATGTATCAGGCATCAAAAAGGTATATTTTGTAAAACCTTTGGAAACACTCAACTTGAATATCAGTGGGAGAAGTGTTTGGACTGTGAACTAACTTTATAGCCAGTACAGCTATTCCATTGAATTACAGTTCTGGCCAGGGGTCATTTCGCAGAAAAAGAGGTGCAGGAGCTTATTAGCATAACTCATTAGCACAACTTATTTGCATATGCCACACCCCCTGACATCACCGGAAGTCTGTCAGAAAGCAACACCCACCGCTTAGGCTCCACTGGACTGTTTTGGATTGCTAGCTATTGGGGGGGGGGACGTGCAGATCTGTCCTCGCAGAGGACGGAGAGCTTGTACCGTAATAAAACTTGGTTTTAAAGGTTCCAGTGGACTGTTTTTTTTGGGGGGGGGGGCTCTGCAGCTTACCTGGCTGCTTCTTGCTCTGACAGGGCTGCTGGGAGCAGGGGATGGGGCTTGTTGCATGTGCCCACCCCCCTGGGCGCTTTACTGCCGGAGCTCCGCTCCTGTGCGCTCCTGCAGGAAATGACCCCTGGTTCTGGCACTTCATTAATGCAGCCTCTGTCAACTTGCATGCTAATCAGGCTAGTTCTCGTTCTGTTTGTTTAACTGCTGGTATATGGTGATGGCTGACGGCTTTGGAGGTTTTTTATAAAGGGATGGGACAGATGTACGGAAGCTAGGTACTATTAACCATGGTTCTAAGTGGAACCACTATATATGGAGACAGCCCTGAATTTTGGAGGGATGATGGCTTGCCTGATCTCATAGTAGCTGAGCAGGGTCAGCCACAGTTAGTACTTGGATGGGAGACTCCCAAGAAAGACTGGGGTTACTGTGGTGAAGAAGGGAGTGGCAGACCACCACTGCTCATTGCATGGCTTGAAGACGCCATGGTCCTGGGGTCGCCATGAGTCAGTTGTGACTTGACAGGACAATGGCTCAGGGGTAGTGTTCATATTTTATACGCAGTAACCCCAGGTTCACTCTCTTAACATCTCTAGAACTTTCTGTGCCAACTGGGGTCGCCATGAGTCAGTTGTGACTTGGCAGGACAATGGCTCAGGGGTAGTGTTCAGATTTTATACGCAATAACCCCAGGTTCACTCTCTAACATCTCTAGAACTTTCTGTGCCAGAAGTCCTGAACAGGATCAGTGGTAGACCATAGGCTTTGCATGGCATGCAAAAGGTTCAGTCCATGGAATCTCCAGGGGAAAGGTCTCAGGTGGCCGATGGCCCAGTTCCTTGGAGAGTAGCTGCTAGTGAAAACAGGCAATGCTGAGCTATTCTGGATATACATTTTCGTGTGCACACACACTTCTTCAGATACATAATATGCATGCACACGAACGCTTATACCCAGAATTAAACTTTGTCTTAAAGGTGACTCTGGACTCAAACTTTGTTCTGCTGCTTCAGACCAACACGGTTGGCTACCCACCCGAATACTGGGCTAGATGGACTAATGGGCAGCTTTGTATGTTCAGTACCAAATTCTTTGTATGTTCACTACCAAATTCTGGGAACAAACAACAGTCAGGGCTGTCACTCATACAGCTTGCCTGTGTGCTTCCCAAGAGGCATTTGGTGGGCCATTTTTTAGGAACAGAATGGTGAAATAGGTGAAGCTTGCTGTGAAGAACCAGGGACATTCTTAGAAAAGACGTTCCTGAAACTTTACCGACTACTTGACGCTCACACAATATCCTTTTCTCCTTCCGTTCCAGGGTGAATGTTCTCAGATGTGCTACAACATTTTCATAGTGGAATCTGTCTGTGTGGGATGGTTTTCCTTGGAGTTCCTTCTGAGGCTCATCCAGGCTCCAAGCAAGTTCACTTTTCTGAGGAACCCGTTAACCCTGATTGACATAGTGGCCATCCTGCCCTATTACATCACTTTGTTATTAGATACCACTTCGGTGAGCAGTAACAAAAAGCCAACCTCTGGCAACATCTACTTGGACAAAGTTGGCCTGGTGCTCCGCATACTACGTGCCTTGAGGATTCTGTATGTCATGCGACTGGCCAGACACTCCCTAGGCCTGCAGACACTGGGGCTCACTGCCCGTAGGTGCACCCGTGAGTTTGGCCTCTTGCTGCTTTTCCTTTGTGTAGCCATTGCACTCTTTGCACCTCTCTTGTATTTGATTGAAAATGAAATGACAAACTCTCAGGAGTTCACCAGCATCCCTGCTTGCTATTGGTGGGCCGTGATCACCATGACAACAGTGGGCTATGGGGATATGGTACCCAGAAGCATCCCAGGCCAGGTGGTAGCACTAAGCAGCATCCTGAGTGGTATCCTTCTCATGGCCTTTCCCGTTACATCAATCTTCCACACGTTTTCCCGTTCATACATTGAGCTAAAGCAAGAGCAGGAAAGAATGATGTACAGGAGGGCACAGTTCTTAATGAAAACAAAGTCCCAGTTAACCAACGCATCACAAGGGAGCGACATACTTCCAAGTATCTCTTCAGAGACCAGGGACAACCGCTGAAATGGAAGTTTCCACATCGGCCTGTTGCTGAGCAAACAGTAACATTTCAGCTTGGCATTTGCTTCGAGAGGCATTGGGGAGATTTGTATTGTAGAAATAACATGCAAAGGGATTTTAGCCATTCAGAAAGCAGAGTCTTATTTTATTGTAATGCATAGTAGCATTATTATTTGAGGAGGTGGTTCTGAATCAATTGCACAGTTGATGTGCAAGATTATAAAAGTAATTTATTATTTTTTAATATATAGTAATAGGCTCTGCTAACCAAAAGGAAAATAGTGTAAAATGAGCATAGCTCTTGCAACATAAAAAGGCAAGCCCTTTTCCAGGAAAACAACTGTGAATATCAATATTTTGATCATTCTTTTAATTGACTTTTTTGTTGTTTATTTATACCAGTCCGTGTGAATTAGAACCTCTCACGAGTACCAAATTAATCCTTGGGAGGAGTAATTCCCTTACTTGTATCAGAGTTAAACATATGAGCAGAGGTCATATCGCGGGGGATCGCAGTTCCCCCAGGTGAGGTATGGGGGGCGGGGCACATGACGAAGCCCCGCCCCCTGCTTCCGGCCGCCCCGCTTACGGCCCTCATTCAGCCAGGAGGAGGCAGGAGAAGAGGGCCCCGCAGGGGGCTCGGCAGTGGATCTGCAATGCCGCTGGTGGTGGCCGGGACCGGTGGGGGCGGGGTGTGTGGCCTTATGACACCCGGTGATGTCAGGGGGTGTGGCCTTAAGACACACTTCCGGTGATGTCAGGGGGTGTGGCCTTATGACACACTTCTGATGATGTCAGGGGGTGTGACATATGCTAATGAGTTATGCTAATGAGTTCCCCTAGCTCTTTTTCTACGAAACGACCCCTTCATATGAGTCACACTGGCAAAAACAGTCAAGTTTTCTTTGTTACTCAAAGGTCCCCTTTTTAGCCTCCTTTCTGTGTTCTGACCAGGCTCAGACCGCCTAGCTTTCCTTTCCTTTTATTCCATTAGAAGCTCATTGATTCATAAATCTTGAGCCGTGGAAAATATTTTTCCTTATTTTTTGGATACAAGGGCTAAAAGGACTGAAACGTATTTTGCAATTGCTAAGGTCAACTTAGGATCCTTATCGCTTATCAAAAGAGCCAAGGTTTCTGGAGTATAAGGGGATGGTGGATTAATTGAAGGCTTCGTATAATGATCCCTTATAATTTCAAAGAACCTACATTCGATCAGGGCATGAAAGGATGTATCAATCCTATTAAGACCAGAAGGGCAAATTCTATTGGAATAAGGCGACCTCTTAACTTCAGGTACCGAACACAACAAGCAGTTTTAGATCATTTTCTGGGCCAAAATAAGCAGTCACAACATTTTTTTTTCAAACTGAGACATAATTTAAATTAACAACAGTGATTCCCTTGTTTCTAAAGCACCTGTCTTGCTTGCCATTTGGTGTGTAACACCTTTTGTTAGATAAAAATAGCCAAACATGGAATTTCTCCCTATGACATGGTTTTGTTGGTGTTCAGGGTGGCTAAAGATTGGCTTGCAGGGTGTCCTGTATCTGCATTCAGACAACTGTAAGTAAACTGTGGTTTGTATGTGATGAGAACCAGCCTCAGAAGTCCATGGGCTTATGCACTCCACATTCACACCCTGTATGTGCCTGGGAAGCTGAAGGGTTTGCTGCTTCTAAACAAGCCATAGCTTGTTGTGACATCTGAACAGCTACAGAAT